GCGCACACACACACACACACACACACACACACACAGAGCCCATGCTGTGGCTTTGGTTTGGCAGGGAGGAAGGAAGGCTGCTCCAAGGTTGCACAAGTGCTTGCCCCTCCGACTGGGTCCCTGTGCTCCTGCCCCCACCTCCTGCTACAATCTCTGGGCCCAGAGTCTGAACGGGCAGGACTTCCAAGGCTTACCGAGTGAGGAGCCTCAACTGAGCACTTCGCATGACTTAGTACTCTCAATAGACTCTTTGCAGAGGTAGAAAAGAAGGCTCAGAAAGGTAAAGTCACTCGTCCAAGGCCACACAGCCAGAACGTGGCTACACTGACCCAAAAGCCAGGCAGGGGTCAACTAGGATTTTCCCCACATGTATAGATACATGCGTGAACACCCATGTACATGGGGCAGCCAGCACAGTCCAGGCCAGAAGGAAGCTCTGCTAGTGGGGGATCAAATCCAGCCAAGAGGGAAAGAAGGTACTTTGGCCACATGTTGACCTGGCCTGGAGACCAGATTGGCTACATGGAGTCAGAGGTCAAAGTCCCCAGGGCAGGGGTTCAGGGCTCCTCTCCTGCAGAGAGGGCCTTCCCACCCATTCTGCCTCCAGCAGCCCTGGAATGTTGTTTACAGGTCGGGCCTTACTTTCAGTGTGTGAAAGTGGTAAGGGGTGTTTCAAAACAATCCGTGGATTAGCGGGCTGATTGGCCTTGGTGTAATTACCTCTGCAGTAAACTCGAGAAAGGCAGGCTAAGAGGAAGCCAGGTGTGCAGATCTTCCAGCTGAGTCAAAGCAAACCAAGGCGTATTCTGAGCTCAGCCCTCTTTGTGGGCACCTGTTCGGCCCTGACCCTTCATTTTTTTTTTTTTTTTTTGGAGAGATTTTCACTGTAGGGCGTGTGCGCTCACCAGACAGACAGAGAGAGACATAGAGACAGAAAGCGAGAAATCACCCCCTAGGGGGGATGGTCACGCCGCAATCCCTTCTCCTCCATTATCCTCTCGGGATCTTGGGCACGCACGCACACGCGCCCGGCGTGAGTTTTAAGCCACCGGGTCCAGGACGTGAACCGCGGTCGACTACGTGGGAGTCCAGCGACATAGCCATTACGCCAACTGCTGGTTCCCTGACCCTTCATTTTTATACCAGGTTCCCAGAGAGAAAAATGCCTAGTCTAGCTCACAGCAGAGATGAACAGCATGGCCCGGAGTCAGACCCTTTTCATGACCCCTGGGGTCTTCAGAGCCGCCATTCTGTGAGCCTAGGCAACTGCCCTCCCATAGCAAGCCAGGGTGCTCCGAACAAGCTTTATGAGACAGTTGCTGCTAACAGGAAGACACAGGGACCTAAACCTCCCTTGAGCTCTGGGGGCACCCTTCTGGCCCCTTGCTGGCGCCTTCTCTGCCAAGACCCCTGGCAAGAGGGAAACACTCAAGGGGGCATGAGCCATTTAGGACAAGGCCAGCCAGCTAGGATCGTGGCCCATGGGTGGCCCGTGGGACTATGAGCAATCATTCTCTTTTTCCTTTTTTTTTTTTTTTGTAGTGGTTGCAGAGGCACCCACAGCCCTCCCTTCCTCCACCCTTTTCAGACAAGGCTCATTCAGTTTGGGATGGCTTTGAAGAACCAGGCCACCCAACAGCTAGGCCCAGCCCTGACCAGAGAGGGACCCCACCCTACTCCTGGCTAAGGCTGTGGTCTGTTCTCAGCTCACCCTGCCCAGGCTCATGTGTTCACATGTGTGTGCACGTGCAGGCACCCTCTCTGGGCCCTTGGGCCTCCCTTCGTCTTTGTGCCTTTCACGAACACACAATAAAAGTCACCAGCTGAATAAGGCAGTGGGCCTGGTTCCCACAGACCCTGCCAACCCCATGACTGGTGGGCACCCAAAACTGGTGCCTAGGGGTTTAGAGATGTTGGATTCTTCTTGACACTAGCCAAGGAAAAGAGGAGGGGCAGGTGCTCTTTTGTCCTGTAGGGACTAACACCTGCCAATAGAAGGTATCTGAGGCCACCAAGCTGAATCATCTCATTTTATGACCTAGCAAACAGACTAGAAGACAAGAGACTTTGGCAAGGTCACCCAAGCAGCTGGCAACAGAGCTAGAAACCCAGTCTTCTGGCTCCCTGGGTAGAGTTGCCTTCTCTCTGCTTTAAGGGTCTTGGTTGTCCCTAAGGTCTCAGCAAATCACAGGTGGCCGCTGTCACCCCAGTTACACTCCCCACCGAGTCCCTAGTCTACAGTATGAAGCTAGAAAAAAGTCACCCACTCTCCCAGTCTGTCACCCCAGGAAGCGCATGGGTGACTCGCTGAGTGTCCACTACATGCCAGACACCCTGCTGGGTTCTTCCCCTATGCGTTCATTTAACTGACAACAGCACTGGGTAGGCCTTTACAGATAAGGAAACTGAGGCTCAGTCGAGTCATTCATCCAAGGTCACACAACTAGAAAGCGACAGAGCTGGGATTCAAACCTAGATCTTTCTCAAGACCATACCCTAAGCACAGCCAGGCGTCTCACTGCTGCCCACTCGTCACCGCTCCACCCTAACCCGACAGCCCACAGTGCGCTGCCGGAGCCAGGGCTCCAGGGCACCCCTTCCCCTGCCTAGGCGTAAACAAAGGTGAAA